GCACCCTTATTTGACCTCCTGAAAGGGGATACCAAATTAACTTCCCCCAGAAAACTAACCCCAGAGGCAAAAGCTGCTCTTGAAACAGTAGAGCAAGCTATCACAAACAGACAGGTCCACCAGATATGCCCAGAGGTATGTATCACCGTATTCTTTATTATTGCTGACTCTCATATTACTGGCATTATTGGACAGTGGAACACACAATGACCTGACCCTTTGCACATCCTAGAGTGGGTATTCTTACCTCACTGATCAAAAAAGATGGCACCTACCCTGTCTGAGCTAAATGCACAGCTAATCATTAAATGTTGTCACAGGTGTCTGCAAGTGAATGGAAAAAACCCTGCACAAATTATTATTCCCATAAAACAAGAGGAATTCAAATGGAGTCTTGCTAACTGCACAGCCTTGCAATGCACCCTTCAAAACTTTACTGGACAAATCACTTACCACTTACCAAGCCATAAATTACTAAAGCTAAGTGGTGAAACTACACTCTCTCGAAAAGCCCTAAATAGCTGAACACCCCTAAAGGGTGTTACGGTGTTTACTGATGGCTCTGGGAAAACAGGAAAGGCCATTGTGACATGGATAGAGGAGGGTGAGTGGCAAACATTGGAGGGGCACTATTAAGTTGTTTGTCCCGGGCCAGTTCTTATAAGCCCTAGAAAAACACTTAATACACCCAAGGATAGCTCAGCTAGTACTTTGGAGGCATAAAATAAGCAGGATGGTTTCTGCTGCGGTGTTAGAAACAAAAAAGGTTTAATAAAAGGCAAAATAACAAATAGAAAAACTTGAGCCAGGTACAGAGGTCTGCCCCTGGTAGAAACACTTCACAAAAGCCCCTCTTCTCTTTTGTTCTGTTCTTTTCTACTTGATTGATCAGGCAGGACTTTTTGGCTTCTATCCAATTAGATGTTCTCTAGTGTTTGGTGAAGTCCTTGAGGCCCTATAAGGTGGCTTTTCACCTAACAGTTGAGAGAAGCTTCTGGGCTTCTTTCCTTTTTTGGGGGACAAAGGTTAGTTTTGCCACTCTGTCATTAGAGGGCGCATTCCTACAGGGCACGAGAATGGATCACCTCAAATAGTAGAGCTACAGGCTGTAGCTATGGCTTTTCAATGTTTTCCCCACTCTCCCCTAAATGTCATAACTGATTCTGCATATGTGGCTGACATCGCACAAAGGTTAGACCAAACACTACTAAAAGAGATTGATAATGCACAACTGTTTAAATTGCTAAAATTTCTATGTCTAACCATCCACACCAGGACTTACCTGTACTACATCCTACACATCAGGAGCCACAAATTTACCAGGTTTTATCACAGAGGGCAATGCCAGGGCAGATATGCTAGCTAGCCCTGCTTGGACAGCACCACAACCAGATTTGTTGGCACAAGCAAAGGCATTGCACGATTTTTTCCACCAAGGTGCTTGAGCTTTACAGTGGCAATTTCAGCTGTCAAATACAGAGGCTCGTAATATTGTTAGCACCTGTGCTGACTGTCAAGGCCACACTTCACCACTGCAGATGGGGGTGAACCCTCGTGGGCTGCGTGCTTTGCAAATCTGGCAAACTGATGTCACACACATCCCTGAATTTGGCCATTTAAAATACACCCATGTCTCAATTGACACCTTTTCCTCAGCAATATGGGCTACAGTACACACAGGGGAAAGAGGACAGGATGCCATCGCACACTGGCAATCAGCTTTTGCATCCATGTGCATTCCCCAAACCATCAAAACCGATAATGGCCCTGCATACGTCTCACAGAAAACCAGGCAATTTCTACAGCTTTGGGATGTATCACACCAAATCCATATCCCTCATTTACCAACTGGACAAGCAATAGTGGAAAAGGCACATGGTACCTTAAAAGGTATACTTAATAAACAAAAGGGAGGTATGTGTGGTGAGACCTCACAGAGCAGAATAGCTAAAGCTATATACACATTAAATCATTTAATAGGATTAGAAAAATCCCAGAACCCAGTTATCCTAAATCACTTCTTATCACTACAGTTGTCCTGCAATGTTCAATTGCCCAAACCCAAGGTAATGGTACAAGACTTCCTTACCAATACATGGGAGGGTCCTTGGTATCTCATTACCTGGGGTCAGGGATATGTATGTGTTTCAACAGACAGTGAGACATGTTGGGTACCTGCCAGATGCGTCCAGCCTGCACTGCGTCCTGCTCAGGACCACAGACAGCACCCTCCTGATAAACCCTCAGCAGACATCACAGAGCCGTGTGATCAGAGTGATTGATGACTACCTCATGGAAATCTGGGACTACAGTTCACATAAACACTTGATCTGTTTACAAACTGTTTTCCTTGTCTACAGATTGTTTCCTAGTTTTCCAGTTGAGTTTGTTTTTGGTTTTTTTTTCTTTAATAAGGGTTGAATGATTCCTGTTCTTACAGACTGTTTCATTTTCTTCATTGGTTAAATGGTTTGCTGTTTTTACAAAAAAGTTGTTAATCTGTTGTAGCCATGATATTATGAAAAATCCTTTGCTGGGATTTTTCCTCTCCTGAGAAGCTGAGGAGCCTCAGGAGAGAAATGTAAACAATTACTATCTGCTGCTGTGGAATGCAACAGGTGCATCTTCCATTGGTCCATGTGGATTGTTTTCCACTGATGACCAATCACAGCCACCTGTGCCAAGGCTGTGAGCAGTCACAGGATTTTGTTATGCTATTCTGTTCTGTTCTATTCTTGTTGTAGCCTTCTGATCTCTCTGTTCTTTTAGTATAGTCTTAATGTAGCCAAGGCTGTGAGCAGTCACAGGATTTTGTTATTCTATTCTGTTCTATTCTTGTTGTAGCCTTCTGATCTCTCTGTTCTTTTAGTATAGTCTTAATGTAGTATTTTAATATAATATTTAACATAATAAATCAGCCTTCTGAAATGGAGTCAAGCCTCGTGTCTCCACACACGGAGAGTTCGCCGCAACCATCTGTAACCTATAAGCCTAATGCCTGTGGCATATTTACCTAAGCTCTCCCCTGTGAGGTCCTGGACATAAATGCTGAAGCTATAATGCAAATCGAAATCTATAGAAAAGAAAGGGTGAGATGTTGGTGTCACGTTGCCAGCCCCTGGGCTGAGTGACAAGGGTTTTGGCTGATCAGATCTCTCATAAGACTGCAGGCATTTCAGTGGTCCAGGATCCGAAGGGGTGTGAAGTTTAAACCAATGAGAGCACCCAGACTGGTGTTGTGGTGTGATGTCATGGTCTGCCTCAGTTACCCTGGGTTCCTCCCTGAAGTTTCCTTCCCCAGGTGTGTCAATCACCTCTTCTTTCCCCCACCCTTGACCCCTGCTGCGTACTGTCTGTCAATCCTGAAATTCCAGAAGGGCATCAAGTCATTGGCAGATTCAAAGGATGCCTTCCACCCCTGGGGGGGCATTGGCCCATCCAGGTGTCCTTTTTACCTGAGACCTCCCTGCCCCGTACCTGATTGGTGGTCTTGGATTCCCCCCCCCTCCCCCTCTCCCCCGGGCAAAAGGGCAAGCAGACCACACACTGAAGAGTTCTGTTGGAGCTGTTGCTAGATTCAGGGGCCTGCAGCCCAGAATAAAAACTCTGGATTAAAACCCTCCATCAGGACTGACTCCTTCCTTCACCATTGCCTTAAAGCTTCTCCAGCACAGGGAGGCCTGAGGAGTGACCCTCTATGAGAGTAAGCTCCAGCCCGCAACCTTCGGAGCTTGGGCATACCTGGACTTGCCCCAATGTGCTCAGCTGCGACTCAGAGCTAGCCAACAGTGTCTCTGGGGTGAAACACCACAGTTGCCACTATTTGGTTCAGCAGCAGGGCCAGACAAGCCAAGGCACATCCCATTCAGCAATATTGGTAAACTCCAATAGACTGGGTCTTTCAAATCCTCTATATAAGGGAGGGTGTGGAAAATAAAGGTCTCTGTGCCACACGAACATCTGGGGTGAGTGGTCTTTGTCTCCTTGCCCCTCACCCCCCCACATGTGGCCTAACATAGAACAACCTGTATGAGAGGCTGATAAAGCAGAAGCAGAATGTGGTATGGTAATTACAGAGCATTTGAGCCAATCTCAGCAGACCTAATTCATGCACTAGTAGCTATCTAGCTGCCTAAACTGCATCAGCAAGGTATTTTAAAGTTTGTCTTGACTCAATCATGTATAAAGGATTGTGCTAGATAAGGACCCTCAGGCTACTATGCAGATAAATCTCACTCCAGATTTTTGTTATGTGTATGGCCATGTTCCATTGACTTAACCTTCATGGTGCCTTTCAGTTTCTTCTGTGTTTTCCTCAATGAGAGGATGCCTTTCACGCCAACCTGACATGGAGACTAGAACAATATATTATGATTGATTTCCATAGGTAATCTAAAAGTTCCAGTGGAGACCATGGAAGTTTTTGCAACAACTTTAATATGCAAGTATGCTAACTCTTTTTCTAGTGGGCAATACCAAAAAGTCATCCTCCTCTACCACCATCCTTTTTTTTTTTTACCAGATGAAAAATTTTACCAGAGCTCTGTAGTATATTACTCAGAGCAACTGAATTTCTTGGAGATGACATTTAGACAATGCTCAGGGTCCAATGTTAAATTCCATTGCTATTTTAAACAAGGAAAACAGATGTTCAAGGGCATTGCAATTTTTATGAATTGCATAGAAGTCTACCTTTGATTGCACTTTCCTAGTAATAATGTAAGATTTCAAATTGTCATACGCTTGTGTTTTGAGAAACAAACACACACATAATACTAAACTGGATTCACTACCTTCCTTACAGTAGTCTTTACATTCACATAATTAAGTGCAGATTTGTGCTGAATATATATGCACACACAGGTACTTGTACACACACATAAAGAAACTGTACACGTAAGTACACAAAAATATAGTATACAAAGATAAAAAAGTATGAATTAATTTGTTAGAAAGAACAGAAAATAAGATACAGTTATTTGTAGCCACTATATACTTACTATTTTGTCGAATCTGATAACTGATATTCTCGTCGTCTATCATAACATTCCTGGATTCCAGGGTCATTCCATAAACTTCTCAGTGCATCTACATAGGGGTTCTCAAAAGTTGACACCTTCTCTACATCGACTTCTCGAACTAACTGTGCATGAGCCTAATTTGAAACAAAGAAAACAATTACATTTATTTCATTTTCTATGTTTACAAATAGTTCATTTTCTCAGGTTGAAAGGTGCAGCTGAGTGTGTATTCTATTGCCATCTGTTAGAGGTGGGGCAGTTATCCTCTGTTAATTAGGCAGTTTTCTTTATCTCTTCCACAACCCATCCTCCCTCTGGGGAGATATCTTGTTAATGGGCCACTGAGTCTCACTGCATGACTGATAAAATTACATCATCCCATTGTGAGATGCTCCGCCCAGGGGAAAGAGCCAAGCATTCCTACCTAGATATAATCTGAGATTTAGAACACCACAGTCAGCCTTCTCCCACCGGATTCCCAGAAGAGCAGCTTTCTTCTCCACTGGATTCCCAGAGGAAGACCAGGCCTATCTACACCACCACTGGACCTTCAGAGGAAAACAACACCCTTCTACAATATCAGTGCTTCAACAGAACCACATTTATCATTCCAGGAGTACTGCAGCCACCATTTAATAGGACTGCTACCAAAACCATGACCCAAGGGTGTCAGGTCATATTCTGACTCTGTCAGTGTTGTTTTGCATTACTGCATTTTTATTTTTATTTTTTCCTAATGAAGAACTGTTATTCCTACTCCCATATCTTTCCCTGAAAAGCCCTTAATTTCAAAATTATAATAATTTGGAGGGAGGGGGTTTACATTTTCCATTTTAAGGACGGCTCCTGCTTTCCTCAACAGACACCTGTCTTTTCAAACCAAGACAGATTTTGGCGCCCAATGTGAGGCTCAAGGGCATCAAGAGAAAAAGGGTGAAAAAGAACAGTTCTTGAGTAACCTAATTTTTTGTGTGCTGGATATAGAAAACTCATTAAGTGTCACCATGTGGTCTAGCTTACCCTGGTTCGGGTGGCATGTAGTCGTGGCTATATTTCTCCCATTTGAATGCCCTTATCTAAACATGGGTCCTATAACTAAGGCTACTGTGGCTGTTATTCAGTTTGCTTTATGGGTTAATAAGGTGAGGAATTAATGGATATTTAACTTCCTCTGGAAGGCAGGCACATGGATTCAGAGCTATCACACACTAACTGTATGTTTTTGGGGTTACTTTAATAATGGTACCTACTGTGAGGAAATGACACCGGGGGGAATTTTCTCCTAACCCTTAAACCATCTATTTGGGTCTGCCCCACCAGTTTTCGAAGGGTTCAAATCTTCTCTAAATGCTAATGATATCATACAGTGGTTGGTGTTGCTGATATGCCTGTTAAGCCTGTTCTATTTAGCATTCAGACATAAGGGAAGATTGACTTGGATAACCACCCTGACACCTACACCAGAAAGTAGGGATGCTGCCACAGAACCTGACACTGCCCTGGGGACTAGGGATGCTGCCCCAGAGCCTGAGCCTGTCCCAGAGCCTGACCCTGCTCCACAGCCCACCTCAGAAATAAACCACCCAGATTGGGTGGGAGTTCTGGTAAAGGAGATATGTGAGATGAGCCAGATGCTGAAAGAGTACATTTCTCCAGCTGGTGAGAAACCTTTCCCCTGCCTCAAAGAGGGAGAGTTTAATCGTACAGCAGTGGAACCCACAGATGTTACAACCGTCCAGGTTCCAGCTGAACCACAAGGGCAGTCACAGCCAGCAGCAGACACCCCTGTGGAAACGAGGAAGTCTAAGATGAAATCAGGGCACCCAGATAAGGATAAGAATGGAGGGCCCTCACAACCCACAGGGGAGCCAACAGTTGAGATCATCACCATGTCCCTGACATATGAAAGTCTCCGTAATCTGCACAAAGACATTGTACGACAGGGTTGTGAGGCTTATACAACCTGGTTACTCCGGGTCTAGGACCTTATGGGTACAGGTGTGCAACTAGATGGTGGTGAGGCAAGGAATTTGGGACCCTTGACCCACGACTCAGGTGTGAATCAGGTATTCATAAGGGAGCCAGGGTCCCTTTCCCTCTGGGAGTGGCTTTTAATGAGTGTCAGAGAGAGATTTGTCCACAGGGAGAGAATGCAGGGGCACCATCATAGAATGTGCTGGAAGACTCCTGAGGAAGGGATCCAACAGCTGAGAGAAGTGGCAGTATTGGAGGTACTCTTTGGGAGGGATGGACAGCATGACAATGACCCTGACGAAGTCAGGTGCACAGGGCAAATGTTGTAGAGTCTAGCAAATCTAGGGCCATCTCAATACACCACCTTCATTGCAACGATTAATGCCGATAACAACTGAGAGAGAGTAGGTTCTGTCGCCAACAAGCTTAGAAATTATGAGAGTATGATCAATGGCCTGATGCAGGCCCATGTCTCTGCTGTAATTAGGAGCCTCCAAGAGGAGATGAGGGTACATGAGGGAAGAGGTAAGGAGGAACAGTTCCCATACGGCACCAGTGCCAGTAAAAGGCGCCAAAGTCAGAGCCCAATGTCCCCCAGCTAGAGAGAGAGGGTACACCCCCCGAGCTGACCTGTGGTTCTTCCTGCGTGACCATAGGGAAGACATGGGAAGGTGGGATGTGAAACCTGTAAGAGCGATCTCTGGGGCCTTTTCAGGGGTCCGATCTGGCTAGCTCTGGACCTTGGCCCCTTGCAGTCTTACAGGGACAAAAGTAAATGACTTAAGGCGCTCTTTCCTCTCGGGACCAGAGTCCCACTTTATTCTGGATAGGAGCCGCCTGGGAATCAAGGCAGTGTCCCTGGGGGGAAAGAGGCCGGAATGTCTGATGGCAGGAGATTTTAAACCCAGGGAAAGGGGGGCAGAGGAGAGGGGCCACAGCCAACGGGATACAAGTGAGGGGAGGGGCAAGGGGAGGAGCAACATGGGGAGAGACCACCACTACTGGGGCTTAGGGGAGAAAGGAAGACCATGTGATATGAGGGGGGAAACCCATGAGGATACAAACATACTATTCAGTGCAAAATACCAAACCCAGTGCAAAACAACAACTAAATAAACTATTTAGTGCAATACAACAGAAACCTACTTCTGTCCTGGCAGCACAGGTGCGTCAACTCAAGGAGGGAAACACTAACTGAGGGAGTTCCACTAAAGTGAAAGCAGCCTCAGCCTCTCATGACCGAGCTGCTGGGTATGATCTCTCAAATCCCCTTGAAGGTACCTCTAGCATGTATGCCCAGGGAGGGAATGATAACCAGGGCTAGAGGGGCCCTGCCTCTAGCCAGGAAGTGGCACGGGAAAACCGGATCTTTTGGACGGTGTGGATCCAATGGCCTAGCACATCAGAGCCACAAAAATATGAAGCGTTAGTTGATACTAGTGCGCAATGTGCCCTAATGCCATTGGGACGTGGGGACAGAACCTGTTTCCATTGCTGGGGTAATGGGGGGATCCAGCAATTGACCCTGTTGGAACCCAAGGTGAACCTGACTGGGAAGGAGTGGCAGAAACATCCTGTTGTGACCAGCCCAGAGGCCCCGTGTATTCTAGGCATAGACTTTCTCAAGAACGACTATTACAAAGACCCAAAGGGACTCAGGTGGGCTTTTGGAATAGCTGCTGTAGAGGCAGAGGACATTAAGCAATTGAACACCTTGCCTGGACTATCAGAAAACCCATCTGCAGTAGGACTCCTGAGGGTGGAAAAACAACAAGTACCGATTGCCACCTTGATGATGCACCACCGGCAGTATCAGATGAATCGAGATGCTGTGATCCCCATCCACAAAATGATCTGAGCTGGAGAGTCAAGGGATGGTCAGCAAAACCCATTCACCCTTTCGACAACCTCATTTGGCCTGTGTGCAAGTCTGACAAAAAATGGAGACTGACTGTGGACTATCGTAGTCTGAATGAAGTGACTCTACCACTGAGCGCTGCTGTGCTGGACATGCTGGAACTCCAGTACGAGCTGGAGTCCAAGGCAGCAAAGTAGTATGCCACTATTGACATTTTTCTCCATTCCTCTAGCAACAGAATGCAGGCCTCAGTTTGCTTTCACCTGGAAGGGCATACAGTACACCTGGAACTGACTGCCCTAGGGGTGGAAACACAGCCCCACCATCTGCCATGGACTGATCCAGGCTGCACTAGAAAAGAGTGAAGCTCCAGAACATCTCCAGTATGTCGATGACATCATTGTGTGGGGGAATACAGCAATGGAAGTATTTGAGAGAGAGCATCATCCATATTCTGCTGAAAGCCGGCTTTGCCACCAAGGAGAGCAACATCAAAGGACCTGCCTGAGAGATCCAGTTCCTAGGAGTAAAGTGGCAAGACGGACTATGTCAGATTCCCACTGATGTCATCAACAAGATCACAGCTATGTCTCCACTGACCAGCAAGAAGGAAACACAGGCTTTCCAAGGCGCCATATGTTTTTGGAGAATGCACATTCCTGAGTACAGTCAGATCGTGAGCCCTCTCTACCTGGTTACCAGCAAGAAGAACGATTTCCACTGGGTCTCTGAACAGCAACAAGTCTTCGCCCAGATCAAGCAGGAGATCACTCAGCCGGTAGCCCTTGGCCCAGTCAGGATGGGACCAGAGGTGAAGAATGTGCTTTACTCTGCCGCCAGGAACAATGGCTTGTCCTGGAGCCTGTGGCAGAAGGTGCCTAGAGAGACTCAAGGCTGACCACTGGGATTCTGGAGCCAAAGTTACAGAGGATCTGAAGCCAACTACACTACTACAGAGAAGGAAATCTTGGCTGTCTATGAAGGAGTTCAAGCTGCGTCAGAGGTGATTGGTACAGAAGCACAACTCCTCCTGGCACCCCGACTACTGCTGCTGGGGTGGATGTTTAAAGGAAAGGTTTCCTCTACCCACCATGCCACAGACTCCACATGGAGCAAATGGATTGCCCTCATCACACAGCGCGCCCGTATTAGAAACCTGAATTGCCCTGGGATTTTGGAAGTAATTACAAACATGTCGGAAGTTGAAAACTTTAGTCTCACTGATGAAGAAGAGCAGGAACAAGTGACACAGGCTGAAGAAGCTCCACTGTACAACAGACTACCAGCAGAAGAAACACAATA